CGTTTGCGCCTACCTATCTGATGCCATATGTCTGCAATGACACTTTTACATGCTATTCAAAATGCTCGACATTCCAAAAATACAACTTAAAAAAGTGGACATCAGCTAGCTGCATGGCGCTTTGGTTAATAACACTGCGAATTTATTAAGGGTGCGCATATGAAGAATTGATATTTCGTCATGCCTTGACTTCAGGGATCTAGCACAAATTTTCATCATTTTACGCCATATACCTATGTGAAATATTAAGAGTAAAGCATGTGTACTTACCGAAACTGTATGTGCACGTAGGCCTAGATAGTAATTCAAAATGAGAATGAAACCAGGTGAAATGTGTTGCATGCCTGAAGCTATTGTAGGTGTTGGGCGCAAAGGCATCGAAGGCATTCACGCGGACTCCATTTAGTGTTCTGTAATGATTTCGACTGCAATTTAATAGCACGCAAGTTTCGCCTCTCCATGTATGCTCGCGTTGAGGACAATTAAAATAGAAATTCATTATCAGGACTGTGTTTCGCATGTGTCATTATATTAACTGTTGATTATGACTTAACGAAGCGATATTCATGTTCGCCAGATAAATTAAACCGACATGGCATTGTGCCTGGCTATTAAGCTTATATAGAAATGCTTTTACTTGTTGGAGTGTCTCTGCAGTGGGATCAATACATAATTGGTGCTGATGTTTGTGGACACATTTGCATATATGACATAAAATATATTTATCAACATGAAGTTTAAGGCTAGATGTTTTTGTAGACATAAACCACACGGTCTATTGGATATGCTTAATTACGTTGTATCTCCACTGACCAGTTTAGACCGCAGTCCATGAATAACGAAAATCTGACATTCGCTTAGACAGACATAGCGTTGCCAGGCGCAAAAAATACAAAGCGGAATGTGAGACCAACGGTAGGATTCAGCCCTGATCTCAGCAGAGAATTGGTGAACTACAGTTCACTTTTGGGGAGTTAAAAGACGGACGAGTTGCTGAAGGGAATCAGTTAAAAGCAAGTTTATTGTTAACGAACCAATATGCGTTTGGATTTTTGGAATTCCAATTAGCGAGTCCGCGTGATTCCATGTCCTCGTTTTGCCGTAATATCGCGAACACACAATCCTCCAGTGATCGCATCTTCATCTTCTAGACAATACTCCGTTTGAATGAACCAAAATGCTTCGCTATTTCAACACCAAGATGAGTACCAACGGATAGTCATATTTAGATTTGGTCACGTAATATATTGCTTTTCTTGTAGTTTGCTTTCTGCAAATGCGTAATTTAGAAATGTAATGAATAACATATTTACAATATTAACAAAATAACACTATCTATTTGCTGAATTTATTGTGTGCTGGTAACCTTAGAACGGGGGACACATGTGGACAAGGATGGCAAAAACGGCCGAAACAGACAGAAAGACGCATGAACAAAGCTTTGCTGGAGAACAATGTCAGTGCGTTTATGCGACATGAAAGAAGAGACCGAAATGCCAAATTTTGTCTCCAACTCACCATGTAGGATTGTAGAGTACACAGAAACCCATCAGCTGAATGCAGTAATTAGTCACAGTGTAAAATGGGAACCTCGTAGAGAATGTTCCCTGTAGAATAAAAAAGGCATAAACGTTGTCGACTTTCGTTGTGGATGTCCATTTAATACGACCATAAGGTTTCGTGTTTCGTCTTTCTATGTTACCCAAATGACTATCTAGGTGAAAGAGAACGCCCAAACACTCCCTTTTACGACGCTTGTCTACAAAAGGTATCGTATTTAAAATGTTTAACGAATACAAGATCGGCGTTTTGTGGGCAATCAATAAAGTGAACCGGATGTCATGACGTACTTAGCGATAACTCGAAACCGATCTGAAACTAGAGGTGCTGTATGACAAACGAAAAGTGCAAATTAATTCCACAGAAGAGAGTTCATTTTGCATAATAAAGGATCATTTTGACGGAACATTTTTCTACACTTCGAAGAATAACCTTTACAGGCTATTGACGACATACACATTTGGTCTACAATTATTGTACTACGACGCGTGGAAAACGTTTTCGTTAGATTCGGATGACCGAGATTATTTCGTTTTATGGCAAGTCCTAGGTAGCGTATATTCTGCAATACTGGCAGAAAACCATATATTCACAGGGCAGCCGTCACGCATTCTTGTCAGGTCGCCTTCAAAACTGCACGGGAAATATTGTGCTGCGGTACCAGACTAATTGACTTTACATAATCTCGACAGGTTTCGCATATTGCAGTGTTGGTTTTGACGTAACGGACACAACACTGAAAGTTACTTCAGTCTTCTACACTAAGGACGTTGAACACACTGCATATCGATTTTGTTCACCTGCCTGTTATCCTTACTTCATTGATTACTTCGTGTGAACATTAGTCTCTTCTCTACTGGCAGCCCCAACGCCATCTCAGAATGTATTCCATTTTTCCATCATATTGAATAATATTTCTTGTCCGGAATGTACTAGTTAAATTTTGTTCAATTTATGCCTACCTTTCTGGAGAACTTCTGTGATATTTTGCACTCTGTTCTTCACTCATTATGCCTCATTCCAAGCATAAATTCCATTTTCCCGAGCAGTCCCTACTTGTCCTTAATGTTACCTTTCCAGGATTCTGGTAACCTGCATCCCAACTCTATTTGATCCGAATGCAATCAGGCTTATATTCTGATAACGTGACCCAGGAGATGGCGAAATACCGCAAAATTATGGAAGTCTTTGCCGCTATCGTTATCTCGCAAGTCCCCCCTGCAGACGCCCCATTTTTCACGCGGAGGACGGAAATCCTTTGACTCAATGCCGTATCTGATTGACAGCCTGCTACCAATCGGCCACGATGGGGATCATTAGCTAAACAAAAATCCACAGAACTTCTTCAATGAATGTGTTCTCCCTTGGAGACAAGCAAATTGACGAGGACCTCCTCAAGGATATGATTTCGGAGCGTCTACCCTCATATGTTTAAACAATATTTGTGTTTAGTCCTCAATATCTCACGTTTGCACAGCTGGCTGAAATGACTGGACGGTTCCGATTGTTTTCTGTCGCCCAGCTGTCAGTTATGAAGGAGCAGTTATTGAAGCCGATTTCAACCATGACGGATGAGGTGGCCACCATTAAACTGCAGCTTGCTCTCATTCTTCCATTCGCCCAGACGGCCGATTTCGCCTTCCTTCACAAACTCGAACAGCCAACATTCGCTGGTATAATACTTTTTTGCCACAAAGACGCACTACTCTTCCTTCTCTATCATCCTCAAATCCAAACAGGGAAACCAGTATGTTAGATTATAGACGCGGCTGTTTTCTTCAGATCTGGTTCCACCTGCTATGTCTACGACAGTGTGTGACTCGCTGACGTTTCCCTGTGTACGAAGAAGCCAACATCAGTCTTGTCTCTCGCTAACTAGCAAACGGTTGATGTTACAGCCAAAAGATTTACAGAGATGCATCAAATTTTTCAGAGGTATTTATGCAGCGTCTGTTGCCTACCGGAATAGGCGGTTTCAAACAAACCGGTTCTGTGAGCACAGACGAATATCACACAGGTGCCACGTATGTCATGGCCAATGACACTGACCCAGCCACTTGCATTGCAGGCATAAGTGCTCTGTCCTGTGTTACTGTCTTGAATGTTCACCGAACCACCCCATCGACATCAGCTTTGGCAAAAAGCATTCAATCACATGCGCCTCGAGGCTAAAGTACGCCCATGACAAAGATAGAACATC